GTCCGTTGACATAACACCCGGACGCGAGTGACGCGTGTGAGCAATGGGTATTCCTTTCTTTCTTTCCGATTCGTATTCGTCCACACGACGACGAGTGTGCGCTATTATAATTTATTATTTATTAATTATTATTACTTCAACGCCGGGCCGAGACGCGCGTGACCGCCGACGGATCGCGTGTTTTGATTATTATTGGGAGGATGTCAGCAAAACATAATATTATGTTGTCGCTGTCAGACACGTATAGGTAGCTAAACCGCATAGCGAAATCACTATTTTGCATTTCTCATATTTTTGTATACAAACTGACGAATTCATATTACCGTGACCTATTATACAAATTACTTAGGAAGTGTTAATATATTATACTCTAAACCGATGCTTTTTTTGATGGTTAAACTATTAAAGAAACTATAACAATAACTGACTTATTGTTAGATTCAATTGATATTATTATTCCACCATTATTTCAATATACTTTGAAATCAGCGTTCTTTTATAAAAAAAAAAAAATCGAAAAATCGAACGGTGCTTGTCGGCCATGTATATCATATATGCTGTGGTTCACGGAAAGTCTTTTCAACCAAGTTGTTATCATCGACTACATTGCTATGTAGGTACATCACACTATTATTTATCGTGTTTCCATTTTCTAAAGTGTGATTTTCATGATTGGGCAGCGAAGAAGACGTTACATCCTCATATGTAAACATATAATTATCGAATTTGCGTTTAGTGTAAAACTAATTATTATGTGGTTAACATTAAAGTGAATTTGATCCATCTTATCAAACTTATAGGTAAGGGCATGATCTTCGTGTGCATGTCACTATTTTTTTTACGATATTCAATTTTTGAATTAGCTACAAAACGCTCATAACTCGATTTATTAATTAAAATATCGTAAGACGCTGACTTCCAAACTCAGATAATACCTTTAATTTTTATAATAGGTATATATTCACTCCTAACCGTCCTCTTAAACTAGAAGCATTGATAGTACGACCGTTTCGAATTAATGAAGATGACGCAAAGGAGGTGCACCTGTGAATTCGAACATGTTAAAGTTATATAGACTTCCTTCCGTCTGCCGACAACGACGACGGCATCATGATGATTTAATAGATATTATTATTATTATGTATGTCATAATATCCCGGACTGTAAAAAGAGTAAAAATCAAAACCAATCCATTGCGCAACGGCCTGTTGCACGTGTTATCGATACAGTCCGTCTTATTAATTTTATACGGATCTACTATTGTAGTACATGCCTATAATATATGCAATAACTAATAAGTTATACCTACATATTGTTATCGTGATGAATGTATAACGATGGAGGCGATTGCGATTGACGCGCGAGCGATTATTCCGGTCAAATGTTATCCGGTCGTCGTCGTCGTTATCGGAGACGATTTTTTCCAAGTCCTGTCCGCGATAAGTCCTCGGACCGATTGTTGTTCCTTAGATGCTAGATCAAATAAAACATAAATAATTACCGGCCGTACCGTAGAGGTGTTCTCGCTTTGTTTATTCTGTCACGTTACCCCAATCGTTTGTCGGCCGCAATAATATTACAATAAAAATAATTTTGCCTGTACTTCTTCTCGCACCTACCTACGTTAGTGTTGCACTTGCAGTTATTGTTTTTGTACCGTTCACGTACATGACGTGTGTATTACGACGATAATATTGTAATAGTTTTAATAGAACGAGACCAGTTTTTAACACTCGACGGAAGATTATAAACGGAAAAATATTATATTGCGCACTTATAATTATACCTATAGTTTAATGGGAGTGCGAAAACCGTGTTGTGCGTGCGTGTGCGCGGTAGCTTTCGGTGAGATTTTCTCTCCGCTGTCCGGATTAAACGTGATTTATAGTGCTGCAAGAGGTGAGATTTAATCTCAAGTATACAGTATATAGAATAGATGAAAAAGAAACGTAGGTATACAGACTTGGGACCGGGATCCGGCGGCTAGTTTGGTCTTGAATATTGTGTGGTAATCGAAAGAATTGAAAACAATATGTCTAATTAAAACAGTTTTTTTTTTAATTTCATTCGTAAATCGCCTCTAATATTGTATTCGGATATATAGAGCACTTATGGTGTTGGATTTTTTTAAGGGCTTTTAGAGAGGTCTGCGGGTAAACAAGACCGTTATAAAAAAAAAAAATATCCTTTGGAAAGCAGCCGGTCAGTCTTCTTCGGGGGTCGTCGAAATTATTCGTAGGTAAAATGACGTTCGTGAATTCCGTTTCAAACTCCGACCTCGCGAAATTACATAATAATACGCCCGTCATGCGTATACCAGCCATATTAAAAGTGTAGTATTATAATATTATATGGGTAGGTGACTCCTACGACAGATGTGTATATACCTATAGTGTGTAAGTATGTGCGTGCACAACCGAATAACCTTTTTCGTCGTTGACGTATTATACTGCAACTACAATTGCTATCTCCTCGTTATAATCGTGTTTTAAGGGCGTGTTGAACAATAATATGTGTACGATATACGAGTCCGTATCATACCCATACTTGTATTTATTTATTTATTTATGTATTATATAAGTAGATACGAGTTCGCGAGATAAGAAGACGTGTCCTTGAAAACGTTATAATGTGTATTCTTATATTGTATATAATATAATAATATGTATGTTTGCACCCGGTGGCTGTGCTCGCTTGACCTTCCGGTCTCCTCCCGTTTTAGGTGATTTTTATTATTTCTTCCTTAATTTCCCTTTGGAAACGATGTACGAGAAATCGTGTCAACAACACCGCACGCCGGCGGGTGTTCAATGACAATAATATTATAACAATAATCGTTTTGACCGAAAATGTATGTTTCGGATGACGCTTCGAGTTCTCTGCAAACAGAACGTTAAATGTATACTATTACTGAGTATTACATCACGCTACAATTCATATTGTATATAATAAATGACGGAGAAAACGAGTAATAAAATTAATTAATAGATGATTTTTCTGACGCTTTAGTTATTGTTCCTCATTATTAAAGACCGGATTTATATTCTCTTAAAATACCCAAAATATGATGCTAATATTCTCTAAAAACCCTTCAAATATTCTCATTATATTCTCTCAAAAATTTAAAAAATATGCTAAAATATGCAAAAATAATCAAAAAACATCATTATAATATGCTTTAATATGCATTTATTTTTTAAAATTTTTTTTCAACTATATTTTTATAGTGAGATATTAATTAGGTATTAAGAGTTGCGTATTATACCTAATGGAATAGTATTGAATTTTAGCAAGAGTAGGAAGTTGGAATATAATATAAATATAACAGTATACTGTATAATATTAAAACACAAAAACAAAATTTTGATATTTGAATATTTGATAAACTCACAGATATATACAATAATTATATATTGTATATATCTGTGGATAAACTTATAAGTTGATCTTATCAGTAGATATACATAGATAAACCTTGATAATACTGATTGTTTTATTTTTATCAAAATGAAAAAATAAATAAATAAATTGTAAATGGTCAAAAAAAATTTTTCAGAGTACCGTAATATTAAAATTAAAAATAAATACAAATTTTTGCTCACAATTTACAAAATATTCCAAAATATGCTAAATTGGTTGAATATTCTCCAACCCATGAAATATTCTCAAATATGCAAAAAAAACTTTTTTCTACGCATTCAGAATTGAACGAATCGTCCACATTTTTACTCTCATAAGACTGCATAGACCCAGTAACGATATGTAAAAACATATAAATCCGGTCTTTACTCATTATATTATGCATACGCCTTATAAATGAGTAACACTCGTTCGGTCCATTGGATAATTGTTTTGGAATCACTTGCCCGTTTGTAGTTCAATAATAATTATTGTACTATTATTATACGTATAACGATTTAAAAAAATAATAATTATTCGCTTCAGTTATGATAGTAGATCATTTATAAAATCAAACGATAAAAAAATCGTACATTGTTAACAATGCCAATAGCAATGGACATCATAATATAATATTATCTGTGTGAACTGTAAACCAAAAGATTTAATGCGCTTCATCCGCGACACAAAAAAAAACCAAATTCGGTGACAATGACATCAATAATATTTATCGTACCTAATGAAACCGCAACCACACCGTACGGCGGAATAATATTTTTTTTTTTGTACATTTGGTGCAAAGTTCGAATTAAACCCAAATTCATCGAAGTTGTTTGAAATTGGTTTTTGAATAAATTTACAAGACAATATAAACATTATCCACTATATTTTAAGAAGATTTTAATTTAATCTGAATTTTTGTAGTCATTGTGTTCCTTTTTTGTTCATTTTTAAAACATTGTTTTAGGTTCTACTCTCTATCTGCAGCTGGTTTAATCAATATAAAGATGGGTTTTCAAATTGTGTTTTAAATTCAAATTATTTATTTATGTTTTTGAAATGTCGAATTACCGAAGTAATTTACGCACAGAGCGGCGTATACAAGGGGGTGGAGTCTAAATACCATTGTGGTTTGAGGATATTATATAGTGTAAGCACTTACTTTTTTTTCCGTTTGATACCGTCGACGCCACGGGAACTACTTTCGCATTAATTCCGCGACGCCACCATCGTTTATTATAAATATACAGTATCAACAATATATATTAACGAATTTAAGCATATTATTATTCACAACAATTGGGATGGGCAGACTGGCTCATCTTACCGTCTTACCTCCCTTACATCTTACATTTTCTAATTTCTAATTTTTGTCGTTTTGGTAATCGTCTCAGAGTTCGAGGGTCGACTGGACTACCGGAGTACGTCGTTCTGTTTTTTACAGGATTATAATATAGTGTCTACCTACCTTCCTATTATAATTGTACTTGTGTCAAAAATGGAAAATACAAATATTTATAATACTATTTTTTTATCCGCAGGCGTCCGTGGTTATATGGAGGAATTGCAGAGACGACGTCCGGTCGGTTAGGTTAGGAGGCATGACCGGATCGTTGCGTCTGAGCGCCCTGCTGTTGCTGTTGCTGTCCCGCTGGGCGTCCGCGGACCTCGAGAAGGGCGAGGACGAGTACGTCCGCAGCTGGGTCATCATCGAGGAACAGCTGGTGCCACCGTCTAGGGACGAGCCGCTGGCCACCGGCGGCGTGGGCACCGCTGGCGGCGGCGTCGGTGGCGGCGCGGCCGGTCGGCGGATCACGCCCAAGTCGGTGTTCGTCGCCCCGTCGTTCAACAAGTGTTCGGACGGTTACCGGCCCGACAGCATGGGCCGGTGCGTCAAGGTGGTCAAGATCAACCAGGCGGCCCAGTGGGACTTTCTGATCAAGCAGCTGAATTCCATGTACGTCTCTGGAGCGGGTGGCGGGGGATTCCCGATGTTGCCGGGTGCCTCGGCGTACCAGCCGGCCACCACCACGACCACCGACCCGCCGTCGCAGAAGACCGATAGCCCCGGACCATTTCAGCTGAACATACCGTTGGGCGGCGGAATGGTCGGTGACTTGGACTCCTCGTACAACCAGACGATGGACTCCTTGGACGAACTCACTACCGGCACTACCACTACGGCAGGCACCACCACGACAACCAATCCAACTACAACGACAACTACTACCGCCGCTGCCGCCTCCACGACCGTTGCGGACGACGAAGACGACGACACTGCAACCACCGACCACCGCGTCACGACCACAGTCGATGGCGACCTGGACGACCGCACTGCCGTGACCGTTACCTCGACCGCTGTCACGATGGATCCGGCGGATACCATGAGACCACGACCGTACCGTAACCGCTACCAGACGACGCACGCTGAGGACGTTACCACTGTCACTCCACCTTCTTTTGACTTGACTACCACCTTGACGTACGCGAAAACAAATAAGTAAGTCAAACTGCAATTTACTATTATAATATTAATATATTATATTCCGACACTTCTGCAGTTTAAATCTTTAAATCCATCGTGTGCCATGTTCCCGCAGCAGCAGAAAAATCTATTTATGGATCCTAAGGCAAGGGTTGGAAATAGGTATCCAGCGGAGGAGAAACAAACGGACAACCAATAATAGAAATCTTAATTAATTGCTGATTTTTATTTTTTATTATTTTCTTTGTCTCTGTATAGACTCAAAATGACATGCCCAAAAAAGTTTTCAGGACCTCGTAAAATTTTTATCAAATCATCCCGAAAACTGGCCTCTAATCTTAAAAAATCTAACCTAACTTGCAATGTAAAAACATTGACAGAATTTTGATAAAATCACAAAAACATCTATTACCTATTATACTACACCTGTTTCTTGTATGAACTATATAGACCTTTTATACTAATAGACCCGCCCTCTTCACGTTTCCACCGTGACAAGATAAGTGGCGCTTATCGAGTTACTTTGATACGGTAAAGTATATATATTTATACTAAATGGGCTGCGTCACTGCGCCAAGTCGGCACGCAACTATAAATGTATTTGGTATAGGATGGGTTGGTCTGTGGTATGAACCACCAATCCTGGCTCATAGCTTGTAACTTTTTCCATGTTATTGAGTGGTCCATCAAAGATTTATAAAAATAGTATTTTATTTTTATGCGATAGGAATTAATGTCATACTAATAAAATATGAGTGATAAAAGAAAAATATTAAATTAAATACATTTATAATAATTATACGTATCTATTGCTTAGACTAGACTACTAGAGGTTTAGACATAAATATTAAAATTTAAAATAAATAAAAAACCCGCATAGCTAGGGGGATTGTGATGGCCCTGAGAGAGCTAAACCAACCTTATCCCCCCCCCCTTTCTCCCTATTTATGCCCATGAAGCATTTGATTCTTGCTGATTTTTTAACAATAATAAAATTCACCAAAGAGTATGTACAATAATGAATATCGACACGACTACCTATTATATTTATAACAATTATAACCATGGTGTATAAATCAAAAATCGCCCAATTCAAGTTAGTATAGGTCACGATTATAGATAGAATCTATAATCGTGGTGTAGGTACTACAACATGCTATTATAGACGTGACTAAAATCGATTACATCGCTGTCATATCAATATTTTTGAATTAGTTTTGTATAGTTTTTGAGTTTTTGAACGTGTGTTATTTACTATTCTGGAGCCTTTCTTTTATGGATGATAAAAACGACTAATTAATTAAAAAAATTAGGTAGCCCAACTAATTGTATTGGTATGTTCGGATCGCGCGTCCCCTTGATGTTTTTTTTATTGCGATATGTACGTTCTGCACGCAAATACTCAAAATCGTTAGCAAATCTCTAAACTATTTTTTTCTGTGAAAGTGAATATGCCTATCTAATGTTATTTTCAGCTATTTAATGCAATCATGGCCCAACGGCCATATAAATACCTAGTGAAAAAAAATTTAAATGATTCGCGTTCCCTCGCTTATAAAACGTTTTATATTCCCACGTCGTGGGAATTAGAAAACGAAACTTATAAATCCTTCTTTATTATTCAATTAAACTTAAATGTCTAAAACAATTTAATGAACTCATCGCAAGTAGAAAAATTTTAATTTTAATTTCTCTCGTTTTAGTATCAATACAGTTGAAACAGTCGCAAGAACGCGAGAGCAGCTTAACGTTTAAATATTCAACTTTTCCGTGTTTAGCATAATATTTACATACCTATGGTAAAAACTTACATAATCGTGTCATATATCGTGATAGTGTATTTGCAATTTTGAAATCTTCAATGTAAAACTAGTTTTTGTACATATATACATTATACATGGTGCACCATGGTGTTTTCCATGTTGTGTTAGGTATAATAGAAAATTAGAAAAACATAATAGCCTACTTCGTGCGCCTAAAAAAGTTTAAACCCGAAGAGGCGAAGACCAAGGATTAGTTATACGTAAATTAGGTGCCTATATAGTGTCGATTAGCGTTGAAGCAAAGTTAGAGTACTAAACTAGTTGTAGGACGTTATGAGCTTAGATAATTTATTTGTTACGTTTAGTGTACAATGTACAAATGTACAATACATATTATGTTATTTCTGTATAGCAGGTTAACCACGTTAAGTGAATGAAAATTATGTTACTTGGAGATGTGTCAATGGCCTAACAATAGTTTAAAAGAAAAAAATTATGGTCATAAGAAGATGCGTATCAATACCTATTTATTGTAGTGTTTCCGTCAATCTAGGTGTGGTCAAGCGTTAGAGTATAATACTTTACATTTTATCCTATCGGAGCAGTGGCGTATAACATAGGGTCCGAGTGTTTCTCAGGCCACACCTTAAATATGGGTGGGTGGGTATTGATAGAAGAAAAATAGGAAATTTTATAGGTCGGTATAACAGTGTATTATGAGGGGTATTTCACCTAAAATTATTTGAGCAACACCAATTTTTTTTATGATACACGCCACTGTATCGGAGGGTATATACAAAATTGTATTAATATAGTTTATGGGTATGAGGTATAGTTGTATATATTATCCATTATATATATATATATATATAATATATTATGTATTTATGTATATCATATGTATTTCTGAACAAACTCTGATTTCAATCATCACAGCGATGACTCATACAGCAAATACTATCATGTTGACTTACATAGTTACATAGTATAGGTGATATCTTCAACTGTCATCACTTTCAATAGTTGTTTTATTCTGTTTTGATACATTTTATGATGCGGATAATGTTGTATATGAATATGACCCAATATGATTAAAAGGGGAAGGGACATACCTCATAATATAATTTAACCATTAAAATCTATGTTGCTCTTGCGTTTCATAAGTTTAGGCACCGCCGAAATTGTCGACATTTTTGTCATCCTACAGCGTACAATTAGTACCACAGCTGTCATAAATGAGCACGTAATTAATTTCATCAACTATGTTTGTGCCCACAGGTACGTGGAAAGTAGTAAAACGACGATTGCCGGGACGGAAGATTCCCCGCAGACCTTCAAGACGACTTCCAGCGAGTTACCCTCGTCTTCGTTTTCGTCACCTGTAGTTACCACTACCTCGGCCGACGTGACGGAAACGGACAATCCGGTGACGGCCACTACTCCGCCGGAAACCGAAGAAGAGGACGTAGTGACCGTACTGGCCGTGGCTGCCGCCGCCGCAGTCAACGGTGACGGCGGTAGTGGTAGACCGGTTAGTACCACACGGTTGCCGTACACGACGGGTGGAAGGACCCAGTCGCCGGTCATGGACACGGTCACGCCCGAATACTATGACGATCAACCGGAAGAGCCGACGTCGTCACCGGAACCAGATTGTTCGGCTCCGAACGCGTATCGGTATTACGCGGTGTGCGCGAGTATCCGGCAGCAGCAACAGTTCGAGCAGCTCCAACAACAGCAGCAACTGCTCCATCAACACCAACAGCAGCAACAGTTGTACCAGCAACAGCAGCAACAGTTCTATCACCAACAGCAGCAGCAGAACAACCACATGGCCACCGCGCTGGTCAAGCGTCCGACCGTCGGTGGCGGAGGCGTGCAAGTCCGGTTCCCAGGAGACGAAGACCCGGCTTCAGCGACGGTGCAGGCGGACAGCGTGAACCTCATCAGGTTCCCTGGACCAGCCCCGTACAGGACCACCAACAAGATGTACGAGAGCAGCAGGCATCCCACGTGGTGGCCGACGAGTTGGCCGGATCAACAACAACAGCAGCAGCAGCAGCAGTCCGACGACTCAGTGCAGCAGCAGCACCGGCTACAGCACCACCTGCCCCAACAAAAACAGGACGTCCGGCTCTGGGAATTCGGGTCCAGACTTCCGAAAACCACGTCGACCACGACGGTTGCCCCGCCGCCCCCTACCCAGTGGTACCACAGGTTCTTTTGATCGAGTGATACTTATGCCGCCGCGCCTTTCCCATCATCATAATACATATTATTATTATTATCATTTTACGCTAAATATTATAATATAATTATACAACACCCCCACGCCGTTCTATTAATATAATATTTTTATCCTTTTTTAAAAATAAGTTTTTACTCAGTATTTCGGCACTAGTTTATTCATTAGTTATTACTTATTTTTATTATTATTATTATTGTATTTTTGTTGCCATATTAACTTAACGTCCGTAGAATAATATCATATTATTATACCTATTCGTGTTTTATATTTTATTTCAGTCACATGCGTTCTGTTTATGTTTCAGCTTCAACTGCGTAAATAATTTATAGTTGTAGTAGTAGCTAGTGTAGCGTATAAACTCTTTATATATATTATATATTTGTACCCGATATACGTATATAATATATAAAATCAATATTACGAGTAATAGAAGAAAAAAATTGCCACGCATTAATATTATAATATCCCGCTGCTATAAATTTTAACGTTTTGTCGTATGACCAATAACATATTTTTAACCGTATACTATGATTATTGTTTACTTATTGTTTGTTTGTTTTTTTTTTATATATATATTTATATTATATAATATTATCATATTATCATGATATAAATGATTTGATGTAAATAATCTTTAAGCGTGTTCCTATTATAAGATCACGGCCTCTAGTTGTGCGAATAGCTGCTGCCGCTCGATGTATTAGTATATGTAAATAATCAGTATCACAAAAATGTACAGTACGCAAATGCAATGCAGTGTAATATAATACTTAATATATACAATTTATATTATTATTACCATACATATTATAATTTAATAATATTGTTATAATATCGACGTACGAACTATCGCACGCAACGGGCATAGTACAATCATTAACGCCAGTCATAATAGTTCCCCGCCTACGCAATGTGCATTTTATATTATATTATACGCGTCATTCAGATCGAACGAACTATATTATTATAATAATTATTATTGCTGTATCAAATTTATATACGATGAAACACAAACTTTGTTCTAACGTTAAATAAAAAAAAAAAAAACCAAGTGAACTGCACTTCCGCCGCCCGTAAGCCCTGTATGTTATTATTACCTATACATAATGTTATAATATTATTACCTATATTATTGTATACCTATATACTTGGAATATTATTTTTTTAATTGATTTTTTCGTTTTTACACACATTTATACGACTTTTTTTTATTTATTTATATAAACACTTCAAAATTAATAAAACTAATGTTTGAATATAGTTTTGAAAAAAACATGTGCATATATTGGAATTATATATTTTTATTACTGTTTAATAATAATAATAATATTATAATATGATATCGAGAAAAATAATATTATAATGTATTGTCTCGTTATTGTGTATATTTTTACGTTTGGATTTATAGAGGAATAATAACAATAAAATGTTTGTGTTTATATATTATTATGAATCGTTTTGTTTTGTTTTTATGGTTCCGTCCCGCTCGTCAAAATCGAAAATAATATACCGTGTACAGCCTTACATACTTCCGCTGTCTTTGCTAACAATATCAGCTAACCTATAGGTGCAGTCGAAAGAACGAAAATCAAACCTCTCGCAAGGGGTAACGCATAGGCAACGATAACTACTCTACGACGAGTTTAGAACATTATTGTTCCGAGCAATGCAAACATTTGGACAAGTGAAAAAAAAACCCATTACCAAAATATAATATTGACAAAACGATTTTCTCCTGGGCCCGAGGGGACAGCGACCTGTCCGGAAGACACTTCAAATAACATAATAACGCGTGTATATATGTTATTATCAAATATTTGTTCGCTGATAACGGCAGTTGTGCAGACAATTCATGTACGCCAGTGTGCGTGGAACCGACCCAGACTGAACACTAGCACATCGGCGTAAGGTGTACGAAGCCGGCGAATCAGACTCCGAACCAGGTAATATTGTTGCAATTATGATTGTGATATAAATTTTCGACCGACCAAGCACGCGTGCTTGAAGGAGTACGATTTGTTATTGAATTTACAAAATAAAATTTAATAATAATATTATTCGTATTCTGCAGAGGCACTCTTAGGCACTTCGATATAAAGCGCGGTACTATATTAAAAACTTATGCCCCCCGGGCCCCCTCAAAGTTTGATTGAATCTCCGCGAGTGCCAGTGTTGGATGGGATTCAAACAGTCAAATGACACACATTTTTTACATTCATTGTCTATAATTCCTTCCCACATCGGTGATGAAAATTGGATGGACCAAATAATTCTGAGTTTGAGTACGATGCGATTTACATGAGATTATTGCAAATAACCCACCCTCTGAAGCTGTAGTATAATGAGGGTGCTGGTTAACTATAGGCTAAAGTTGAAAACTTGTTAAGTTGGTATTGAAAAATATAAAATTAATTTAAAGTTAAAAATTACTTTGCTTGTTTAAACGTAAAATAACAAAAACATGTATTTATTTAAAAATCAGTTAATTTTTATTTATTAAGCTGAGTATAATTTGAAATCTACACCAAAACACAATAAAACTTGACAAAAGTAAATACATTTAAACAAAAATATTGTATAGTATAAATAATAAGAGTACTCGACAGAAAAAATAAACAGAAATTAAGGCTATCCGATGATAGAAGTATAGAACCTTATACTAACAGAGATTATTAATTAATTAGGTTAATTTTATTTGATTTATTTTTTAAGAGGTCACGGCACAAAGGTCTTTTAAACATCACACTGGGTTTATTTTTCAGTATTATTGTTGAGAGTTTCGAAATGTATGTGTTTAGGACTTGAGTGAGATTGTAATTTCCCATGGAAGTTTATATCAAGTTGTATTTACATACGTTATTTTGATTACTATTGAAATACAGAAACAGTGAATTCAGCCCTTCGACAGCATGAGCGTATAACTATAGGATTTCTTAGTTAAGTACAGGGGCTAGAGTCCTAGAACACCAAAGTTCAATTTAATCCATGGGTCATGGAGCCCTTTTGGGCCCCCTATTTACACTGATGTTCGATAGGCTACAATTTAGTATTTACAATAAATACCCACATCTTATAATGTTTTATAATGTGCATAATTGCCCGTTCCGTCAATTTATATAAATAAAAAGTTATATTTAATATTTGCCAATAATTGTTTTTGGCTTATTAACAGAATAATTTGATAAAACAAAATAATATATTTCAAATTAGTAAGGTTTATTATAGGTATTATAAAAAAAATTAACTTGGCATAATTATCTAACTATAGTATCAGAATAAATGCATATCGTGAACAAATTTAATTCTTCAAGTTCGAAGTTACTTAACAATAAAAGAAGTAACTATTTATTTAACTTTATTACAAGTAACTTAACTTTAATTTTTTAGCTAGTTAATGCCAAGCCTTGACTCTATAGTACCTGAATGTACTGCAGAGTAGTGCAAACAGACAAGTTTCGTTTCACTTCTGTGATCACTGGTTGGAAGGGGTCTAATAATATAATTTGTATAATATTAAGTGTTAAGAGGATGCTACATAGCCATTAATAATTGTTGTCTTCGTCGTAAAAGTGTGTAACGTAGCTAATTTACGCTCAGGAGAACGCGTTTAGCTCCGTTAGTTTAAAAATTAGAGTGAATCGACCTATTATGAAACTTGATGGTAAGTACATTATCTGTGTTTGTATGATGTTGGGTTTCTTACTACAGTTCAATTTTTTAGTAAGTTATGCGTATATAATACAGCTTAAATTAAAAATGTTCATAACTCGCTTAAAAACTGAACTATCGTAAAAAAACTCACATAAAAACACAGATAATGTTCTTACCACCTAGTTTCATAATGGGTCGATTCACTCTAATTTTTAAACTAACTGAGTTAAACGTGATCTGCTGAGCGTAAATTTGCTATGTTATGCACTTGTAAGTTGTAAGACGGAGACAACAAACATCCGTGTATATAACTTCCTCTTAACCATTCGCAGGACGCGTTCCGACCGTGTCTAGATCGGTTCGAAATAAAACTACGACTTTGGACGGTGGTCAAACGATAATGATACATATTTTAATAATAGTAATTAATACAAAGAGCCCAAGTGTAAAAGTGTATTTTTACGATCGCGAACAGCCGTCGAATTCCATCGTTCGACGACGATAAACAACCTCTCAACGCTCGCTCGTTATTATACGATTTAAGTATGCGACGATTAACAAAGCCGTCGTAAATTTCAGGATGGGTGCGATTGTGCGAATAAAGACTTTGGCAAATACGAGATCGCTAAAGTCATTTTTTCGCCTCTCGAATAGATACACGTGTTACGTGTATATATATTATATACATATATTATGTTGTATCGTGTTCTCTTTCGAAAATTCAATTTTACTAACGCTCACTTATTGTACGTTTTTTATTATTATTTTTAAGTTATTCCGTTGTGTCTGCAGTATAATCACGAATAAACGAAAGTTATACTCTTCAAAATAACAGAACTTGAATTGCGTTTCTTATTATTTATACAAGACATTCCTTAATTTTTTTAAAACTTTAATTGGTCGCAATGATCGTGTAAATAATAATTTTTTTTGTTTCAGTACCCAATAAAACACTATAATTATGTATAAATATATAAGACTATTGCTTGAATGATTCATTACTGAGGTACTATACTTTATGTGTCTTGTATCTAGGTGTGCTTGTTTCTATAATATCCAACTTCACCTTGACTCTAAAAATGAATGGTTCTTTTACCCTAAATTCATCTAAAAATTGAAAGCTAGATTATAGATGTAAAATACAACTTGTCATGCAATGCATTAATAAAAACTGTAGTTAAATGTAATCATCATAAATTATAAAGTTAATTTAAAAACTAACATTTAAGAATTTTAATAAGATAGAGCTAAAAATAAATATACCTAGTTAGAACGTTTATTTCGTCCTATAACATTCCTAATATTCAGTTTTGTAAAAGGTACTTTAT